CTCGCTTTCTGTCTCTCTGTCTCTCTCTGTCTGGCGAGCGCACGTGCCCTATACCAAAAACCTCTCAAAAAAAAAAAATGAGATGTTTGCAACCCAAAAATTATTCCCTATAACATTCCCTAGGTTCAGAATTTCTCTTATTACTTCTGAGATTTGGAAATTTCCTTCTTTTTTTTTTTGAGAGAGAGATTTTTGCTATAGGGCATGTGCACTCACTGGATAGAGAGAGTCAGAGAGAAAGAAAGTAACAAATCACCCTCCAGGGGGAATGGTCATCCTGCAATCCTTTCTCCTCCATTCTCCTCTTGGGATTTTGGTCATGTCCACACATGTGCCCGCTGTAAGTTTGAAGCTGCTGGGTCTGGGACTTGAACAACAATCAACCTTGTGAGAGTCCAGCAATGTAATCATTATGCCATCTGTTGGTCTTTCCATTGCCTTTAGTTGCCTTGCTAAGCATGTGTGAAATGTATATCTGTGTACACAATAACTTTTTGTCTCAATACTAAAACATATTGGGGATAGTAGGTGATGTGGTGGTTGAGGCTCTGGGCTCCCACATGGCTGACCACTGTTTGAGTTCTAAACCTGGCAGCTTGCTTTCTCACTTTTTCTCTCTCTTTGGTGAAGGCACATGTCCTATAGCAAATTAAATAATGATAATAATAAATAAAATTAATTCTTCAAGTACTAAAACATAGTGTCACCTCTATGAAGACATTTTAAGAGATAGTCATCCAAATATAAATTAAGATTGAACATTGTGAGGTGTTAACATTTGCAAATAAATCAAAGTCAGTAGTCTAGAATATTGAAAGTATGGAATGCCCATTTGCATATATTTCCATGTCTTTGACAAACCCATATTCGAATGCGTTTTCAAAGAACAGAGATTTTTTGCTGTGTATCATTTTTCCCACTGTGCTGACAACAATGGCCAACAACAATCATAACGGTTGTATACTACACAAGAGTGCAGACAAGGGATTGAAAAGGCTGAAACCTGATCTATGTCCACTCACAAGTCAAGTTGTTGAAGGACTATGTTCACCCAAAGAAGGCTTGTCTCATAATTTTTATAAACACATTGTGCAGAATTACCTATGGTCCTGCTACGATAGACTGGGTTCTATTGATAGTAGGAGCTTAATAAATATTTATGACTGATTTATGATCAAATTGATTTTCTAAATTGCTGAGTTCACCCTTGTGTAACAAATGACTCCTACATTACAAATAACCCACTGTGAGGTAGCTGATAAATCCATTTGACATGAATTACCTTAATTTTAGGTAGTTTTATGTTATAAAATTAAAAACACAAAAATGAAGGAATACCTTAGAAGCTAATAATGGTGATTTTTTCTTACATAGTCATTTTTTATACAGTATTTTAATCTCATTTATTACTCCTGTTTGATGTCAAAGGCAGAAACAAATGAAAAACACATGCAGTGATTTTGAGCGAACTAGGACAGGATGGGATGGAGAAAGACAGCCACAATGATTATTAGGTATATTACATAATAGTAAGAAAAGACACATTGATGGCAACCAGCAGATGGTTTAACCTCACATGGCTGACCATGATTTGAGTCCCAGATCCGGAGGCTTGAAATTCACACTGGGTGCCTGTGTGTGTGTGTGTGTGTGCCCAAAATCCCTAGAGGAGAACAGAGAATGAATTGCATCATGACCATCATTCCTAGAGGGTGATTTCTCACTTTCTGTCTCTCTATATCTCTAGTGAGTGCATGCACGCTATAGCAAAAAATAACAATACTAATTCAAAAAAAAAAAAGACATGTTGAGAGCATCTAATCTAGAGGTCAGAAATGAGAGGAGAGGGGCTGGCCTCACAGAGACCACATCTTCACATGGAAGAACTCTGTTGTTCTCTGGGCGTATACTTAACTTGACTCTTTGGAAATAGGCTTCCTCCTTTTTATTATTATTGCTGCCCAATGATTTTGTCTTGCTTTGGCTTTCTGCGATGAAGGCAGATCTATTTACCACTTTTCCTAGATCTATTTACCAGTCTTTTCCACTCATGTGCCAATCAGTTTCTGTATCTCTCAGTAACCTTCTTGAGAAAGGACCTACTAGACTCTAGCTCAGCACTCTGTCAATATCCAACAGCTGGTTCTCTAGGACAGTAAGTGAGGAACCAGGGTAGAGGCAGGGAAGTACAAGGTGGTCATGTGTTCAGCCATGCCATGCCCTAAGAAAGGGACTGGAGGTAGAACAGGCAGTAGAAATTTGTAGTGGGATTTTATTTTTTTTTTCCAAAAATGTTGTACATATTTTCTTCTCTTAAATGTGATTGTTTCTGGGACCATCATACGGCATAATAGCTGTATCACTGGACTCCAGTCATCAGTTGAGGTTTGAGTCCTGGACCTGGCAGCTTAAAATTCACACTGGGCACATGTGCATATGTGCCAAAGGTCCTGAGAGGAGAATGAAGGAGAAAGGATTGCAGCATGGTTATCCCCTCTGGGGGTGATTTCTTGCTTTCTGTCTTTCTGTTTATTTCTGTCTCTCTGGCAAGTGCACATGCCCTGTAGCAAAAATCTCTGTTTCAAAAAAAAAAAAAAGTGATCATTTCATCTTTTGTAAATCAAATTTCAACAATTCTGTTCTCTTTATTTATTCATTATTATTATTTTTTTTTTGGAGAGGTTTTGCTATAGGGCACATGCGCTCACCAGAAAGACGAGAGAGATAGAAAGCGAGAAATCACCCCCCAAGGGGGGTGACCACACTGCAATTCCTTCTCCTCCATTCTCCTCTCAGGATCTTGGGCACACACGCACATGCGCCCAGCGTGAGTTTAAGCCACCGGGTCTGGGACTCGAACCATAGTCGACTACATGGGAGTTCAGCGACATAGCCATTATGCTAACTGCTGGTCCCATGATCATGCTCTCTTATGGGATTTTAATCTGGGGTATGCGTATATAATTACGGTTGTGAACTTAGATAAAAATTTTCTTCATTTTCATTCACTTTTAAGTTAAATTAAGCATTTCTTTCAATTATAAATATGAGCAACAAACCCTAGTTATAGCAGTGCCTGTGACTTTTGCATCAGTAGACCTGACTGGTAATTTTATATCATGTTCTAGTCAATCATGTTCTAGTCGTTGTACATATTGTACTTCAGAATACCAGCTATGCTCATCCCTACTTTGAAATTAACCTAAAGATATGCTAAATCGTATTGTCAAGGTGTTAGAAAACATGTGCTATTATATCCCACATAAAATATGTATATTTTATATATTACATTTCAGTATAACTTGTTTTATTTTAAAGTTGTAGTTTTTTACTTTATGGTTTGAAATGCATTATTATGGGAAGAGGTTATTATTTTTTTAAGAGAGATTTTTGCTATAGAATCTGGGCCACCCCCCCCCCCACCCACACACACACACACACACACACATGTGCCTGGTATGAATTTTAAGCTGCTGGGTCTGGGATGCGAACTGCCATCAACTACGTGGGAGTCCAGTGACATAACTATTCCACCATCTGCTGGTCCCAGGAAGGGATTCTTAAGTTTTACCAACTACCAAAGACATCCATGACTCCAAAAGACTGAAAATTTATGCTCTAGGAATACAATAGCACTATAGTTGCTAAATTTTCTAAAAACAGTTCCTTTTTTGTGAATGGGCTTTCAAATTTAGCCATGATATTAGGTCTTAGTTTGTTATTGCATTGCTAACAGAAATATCTGAGATGAGGTGATTTATGAAGAAATAGATATTTTGGGGGGCCAGCAGGTGGCATGGTGGTTAAGGGCACTGGACTCTCACATGACCAACTGTGGTTTGGGTCCCGGACCTGGCAACATGCTTTGCTTGCTTTTTCATGTCCTGTCTCTCCTAGATCTCTCTCTTTCTTCTCTCTCTCTCTCTCTCTCTCTCTCTCTTCCTCCCCCACTCTCTGGACAAATTAACAGTAAATAAATAAATAAATAAGTTAAAAAAAAAGAACAAAAGAAATAGATGTTTTTATCATCTCAGTTTGGAAATTTGAGGTCTAGGGACCAATTTCTAGTTAGGCTACAATATGGCAGGGGGGAGCATCTTAAGTAGAGAAGTTGTCCATAAGTTCTTCTTTGTTCTGGTCTGCATTTATGTGGGCTCTGCCTGCCTCATTTCCTTCTTTTATATTCATGCCATAACTCAATCATGCGGACCCCACACTCATGACTCCATCACACCCAAAATGCCTACCCTTGGAGACCATGAAGAGATTACATTTTTTGTTTCTTTGTTTTTGTTTTTGGAGAGTTTTTGCTATAGAACAGATGCGCTTGCCAGAAAGACAAAGAGAAGCAGAGAGACAGAAAGTGAGAAATCACCCCCCAGGGGGGATGGCCATGCTGCAACCCCTTCTCCTCCATTTTCCTCTCAGGATCTTGGGCACACACGCACACATGCCCGGCGTGAGTTTAAGCCACTGGGTCCAGGACTGAAGCCACGGTTGCCTACATGGGAATCCAGCGACATAGCCATTATGCCCACTTCTGGTCCCAAGATTATGTTTTTACTTAACACCTTTATTACACAACTAAGTACCAATAGACAGTCTTTTGGGGGACATCCAGTCACCACCCTTTCAGACCCAATACCAAAGCATGAACCTTTGGGGGACACACCATTACTCAAATTACACTAATGTAGGAATTAAGTAAATATAAATCAATTTAATTGAGCAATGCATATGTTTATTAAACATATAAAATTATAAACAAGTAGGAAGTTATTTGTTCATGTTTATGTGATAACGTATGTTCCTATCCACCCAAGAATGAAACTGTAATGTATATGGTATGATTTTTATGGTTCATTTATTACATGATTTTATATTTAACCCTTTACAAAAATCTCACCATAGTAATCAACCACACAGCCATTCTGCAAGCATTGGCTCTTAAAGCTAAAGTATAGCATATTACTTGAAATTCAATGTTGTCCTTTCCACAGGCTACTCAGAAAGAGATTGAGAAACAGAAAGTTCACCTGAAGAGTATCACAGATCTAGGAGAGGCCTTGAAAGCAGTTTTGGGCAAGAAGGAGACCTTAGTGGAAGACAAACTCAGTCTTCTGAATAGTAACTGGATAGCTGTTACTTCCCGAGCAGAAGAGTGGTTAAACCTCTTGTTGGTAAGAGAAGAGCCTGGAAGCTTTTCCACCCCTTTCTGCCATGATACAAAAAAAAAAAAGTTACATAGTCCTTCTATAATATTATTTGTGTTTAAAACTTCCTCAGTTCCACATAGATGCTGGCTCTTAATTCAATATCTGTAATAGTATTTTGATATATTTTCTTCTTCTTTGTGCTGTTTTCTATATAAATATACTACTTTAAAATAAGTTGGATATTATAGTTTGTCTTTTTACAATTATTGAAAGTAGGAAAAATCTTTTAAGTTTTTTTTTTTTTAACCAATAATGTGATGACATGTCTCTGTACAATTAAGGAATACCAGAAACACATGGAAACCTTTGACCAGAATGTGGATCACATCACAAAATGGATCATTCAAGCTGATACACTTTTGGATGAATCAGAGAAAAAGAAACCCCAGCAAAGAGAAGATGTGCTTAAGGTAGCAAATAAAATATGAAAAGAAAATTTTAAACCACACAACAGTAATGCCAATCATTTTTGTCCTAGAAGACACTAAGGACTTTAGTAAGAATGAAACAATTCTTCTTCCATCTGTCCTTCCCTTCCTCTCTTCTCACTTCATTTTTTTGTTCCTTTGAATGGGAATTAATGACTTGAAAGAGTTCTGTAATCTTGATCTCCATCTAAAGCCACCTCTTAGATAATTAGGCCCAATTTAAAATCTATTCAGAAAAGGATTCCGGGATTTATTTTGATGCCATTTTTCCTGTCCAAGCCTACCTCAATGGTACCACATCGTTGGGTATAACAAAAGAAAAGTTTCATGTGTTCTGTCTTTCTGAATAATCACATGAAATCCAGTCATCTGGATATTTTGCTTTGTTTAGTGACCAAATCTTAGTAACTAATCTTAGTGGTGAACTTATGTAAAACTGAATCTTTTTTTTAATTTATTTAAGTGCATTTAAAGTGAATGTGGTTTCAGGTTCTCTCTTTTTGTATTGAAAGTAATTATTAGGGTATCCCACATGTTCTTTGTCAAAGACAATTTAATCTTTCCTTTAAGACAAAGTCCCTGGGCCTGCTGGTAGTGTGGTAAAGGTAAGGATCCCACTTGGCTGACTACACTGTTACAGTCCCAGACCAGATGGCTCGCAAAACTGACTTGAACAAGAACCCAAAAATACCTAAAGGAGAAATGGAGTAGAAGGGATTGCATTGTGACCATACCCCAGGAGGAAATGGTTGCTCACTTTGTCTCTCTCTCTAACTCCAGCAAGCTCATGTGTCCTCTGGCAAATTAAAAAAAAAAAAAAAGTTCCTGAAAAAGAGTATGAGAAGTATAATATAAAAATGTATTTTACTAAGTTTTCTCTATTTGATGATATCTCTCTTCAATTACATGAAAAGAGTTAAATTTTAGCAAACATCACTCAAATAAGTTACTCCTTATTTTGTTTCGCTGAAATTTTTAATAATTTTATTTGACTAGTGGGCTACTATTTAAAGAACAAAAAAGAAAGAAAAAGAAAAAAGAACACTAAAAAATTATAGTTTCTATCTTTAAAGTTTATTTTTCACTTTTTATATCACTGATATTTTCTTTAGATTACAATTCTTTTTTAATGAAAAGCTGTAAACATATTTCAGGCTATCCTCAAAACATATTTACTTTATCTAAACCTTATTTTGAGTCCTTATTATATATCAAGGATGTCATATCATGGTGAAATTCCATCATAGTCTTTGGAATAATAGGAACTGAGTTATTTAACTTACAGCCTCTGTGACGCATTGGGTCACGCAGAACATTTCTCAGTATCTCTGTACATGATGCAAAATCCACATCTGTCAGAAAATAATTTTTTCACATGACATAGTAAGGAAGGATTTAAAAGTACCAGGAAGGAATAGAAAAACAATCTTCAGTTATTTTTCTCCTAAGCACATATTTAGTTTGTTGCCCAACTGTAAATTCAGTAAAGATAAGACACATTATAAAATATTATGATTGTTGCAGACAACATCAAAAAAGTCCAGAAAACACCCCCTCTCCTTCCACAGACTAAAATACTTTAATTTTTTTTAAAATTTTTTTTGAGAGATTTTCTCTATAGGGCGCGTGTGCTCGCCAGACAGAGAGAGACATAGAGACAGAAAGTGAGAAATCACCCCCCAGGGGGGATGGTCACGCTGCAATCCCTTCTCTTCCATTCTCCTCTCAGGATCCTGGGCACGCACACACATGTGCCCGGCATGAGTTTTAAGCCACCGGGTCCGGGACGCGAACCGCAGTCGACTATGTGGGAGTCCAGCGACATAGCCATTACGCTAACTGCTGGTTCCCAGACTAAAATACTTTAAATCGACATCCATGAAACCTAATCAAAGGCAGTGACCCATTTTTCTGCAATCGCACACATTCTCACTTGTACTCCCATTTCATGGACGTTGGCGTGTAACCTCCTTTCTATTCTTCTCCATGCATGCTCTCTCTTTTTTACTCTGTTTCTCTTTTTCTCTTCCTCTCTACTTCCATTAATTACTAACTTTAAGCCCTATCTCTTGTTCATGGAATATAGCATTTAAAGGCTGAATTGAATGACATACGCCCAAAGGTGGACTCAACGCGTGACCAAGCAGCACACTTGATGGCAAACCGTGGTGATCACTGCAGGAAAGTAGTAGAACCCCAAATCTCAGAGCTCAACCATCGATTTGCAGCCATTTCTCACAGAATTAAGACTGGAAAGGTAGGAAGATCTACTCCAAGGTGGAAACTAGTGCTAAATGATCTCTTGCGAAGGTTACGCAGTGCCCTGAAGGGGGCAAATAACCCCCACAGCAAGGTTTGCAAAAGGAAAATGAAGGCCAAAATGTATTTAAGGAAATTTTACCATTGACTATCATGGCAGATATCTCTCTTTCTCTCTCTCTCTCTCTGACTTCCTCCCTTTTCCTACCTCCCTCCCTCTCCCCCTCTCTCTCACATTTTATTCTAGAACTACATTCTGTGCTGGTTTACGTCACTACTTTCAGGGGACACCTACAACAAATAACAAATAGCATGCTGCAGGCCAAAAAAAGAAACAAACAAAAAGCACAAAATGTATTATTCACCTAAAGAAAGCACTATTGATATATTTTACCAAATATATTCTTGCTTGTGTGTAATATAAATCAAATATCCAAAATGAGGCCTTGTACATCTCTTGCACGATAGTAGGTGTCTGTACCCCTTTATCGTTTGTGCACGTGTATGTATTTAACTTGCTGTTGCTAGTTCCACATACCTACTGTGACGAACTCCATTAGGCTATAATGAAATGCTCAAGTCATAAAGATAAATTATTGCAAAGCTCTTCTATCTTAATTTTTATAACTTTGTATGCCTATTTATATTTATCCTAGTTAATGAAGAACCAGGGGACATGGAACTTCTGCATGATAGTCTCTATATTTGTAAAACACTTACTGAAGACAAGTCAGAAAGTAGTTTATAAAAATATATAAATATAGCACTAAATAACTTCAACTCTTTGAGGAAGAGTTGAAATGCAAGGAGTTACCCCAAACTTGATAAAATACTCATTTTTTCAATATATATATGTTATGTTCTCAAATATCAAACTATCTAAAAGAAATATATGTATTTAGGTATGCACATAATTGCTAGAAATAATCTTAAATGAGAAGAACATTACTGAACTATTTGTGAGAAAATATGATGCAATATGTCAGGTAAGTGATGATTTCTTGAAAAATAGGAAAGTAGGTTCAAAAACATTATTTGATAAATATGGACACCCAGTAATATCATGGTTTCACAATTCCTACACTTTCTAGGTGTAGCATCATCTAGTGTATCATCATGTTATACATAATGGCATATATTTTAATTAGTTTTCAAAATATATGAAATGCAATATGATGAATTCTAAATACTTTGTGCACATGAAACCTAGTTACCCTTCAAAACTCAGCTTCCAAAAGCAAAAAGTTGTTAGCTTTACCTTAATTCATTGCTACTTATTTGTAATAATTAACTAGTTATTTTTTTTACATACACACCCATACACATATTTTTTTAAGAATTATTTTATTTCATTTTATTTATTGTTATTTTTAGTTTGACCAGAGAGAAGAAAAGTGAGAAAGCAACCCATGAGATCTGGGACTCAAACCATGGTTGGCCATGTGGGAATCCAAATCTTTAAACATCATGCCACTGGCCGGCCCCACACACATGTAATATTTAAGTAAGTCATTGTCACCTGCAAAAACATCTGATAGGCTCTCAAAACTCATTTTCAGAGAGAATAGTTATTTTATAAGGATATATTCTACTAGTTAATAATGCAATCACTTTTATTTCTGGAGATATCAGTAGCTTATGTAATCCCTAAACCACAAAAAGGAATTTTCAATCATCCCCAAACTGCTACTACTTCATTACTAAATTTTATATACTTTTGAATAAATCACTAAGCTATAGAATATTTCATTACCTGAGATAAATTGTTACAAGATTATGACACATAGATACTAAAAAAGCAGATTATATATATATATATATATATATATATATATATATAGAGAGAGAGAGAGAGAGAGAGAGAGAGAGCACCTGTGCTAACTGGAATAATACAGAGGAGGAAAATGAGAAATCACCCCCCTCCCCAGTGGGATGGCCATGCTACAAACCCTTTTCTTCCATTGCCCTGTTGGGATTTTGGGCTTTCACACACATACACCCAGTATGATTTTCAAGCCTCCAGATCTGGGATTTGAACCATGGTTGGCCTTCAGAAGTCCACTGCCTTTACCACACAAGTTCTTCTAGCCCCAAAAGTGGATAAGATTTATCTTCCATCATAGAAGTGACAGACGTCCAAGACAAGATTTTTTTTTTTTTGCTTGTTTTGTTTTGCTTTGTTTTTAAGAGAGGTTTTTGCTATAGGGTACATGCACTTGCCAGAAAGACAGAGAAAGACAGAGAAACAGAAAGCAAGAAATTACCCCCCATGGGATGATGGCCACGTCACAATCTCTTCTCCTCCATTCTCTTCTTGGGATCTTGGGCATGCATGCACATGCACCCGGTATGTATTTAAGCCACCGGGTCTGGGAGATACCACAGTCAACCACGTGGGAGTCCAGTGATAAAACTATTATGCCATCTGCTGGTCCCCCAAGACCTGTTTTTAACTAAGGCCAAGTTGGTGAGTTTTTGTTCTATATGCTGCAAGGATTTGTGAGTATACTTCTGGAAATCATGCAAGTCAGTCACTCAATATACATTTTTTTCTCCATGCTGAAACAAGGCACAAGACCTTTCTAATCAATATTTTCAATTATATGTTAATTGACAAACACATTTGTCACATAGCAGTCATCTTTTTACTTTTCAAAATATTACTTTTTCTCTAAATTAGTAAAGACAATTGAGTGCAATAGTGGCCCCATTTTGCAGGTCTGAGAACATAATTATGCTCTATTACAGTGATCAAACTAGAAACAGTGATAAAGCGTATCTGACACTTTTCTTATTTGTTCATTGCATCAGCTAGGAATACTGAGTTTCCATTGTGCTAGAGAGAATGAAAACACATGACGTAAAGATACTTGCTTTAAAACATATCTGTTTATAAATACAAAGTAAAAACTTATTACAGTCATAAAATATGTTTAATATCTCTACATCTTCCTGGAGATACTCAATTAATTATAAGGAAATCCCAGCAGAGAGAACAATGCGGTTAGAAAACTAAATTCTAGGCCTCATTTTGTAGCATATATGATTTCTTTTCATATCCATTTCAGTGTTTATAAGATAAGTGTTTAAGTAAATTAGTAGTTTTTAAAACAAAAACTACCCCCAAAATATTTATTATAAAATAAAAAATATTATAAAGTATAGTATATAAAATAGATAATAGATAAAATGTATTATAAAAATAGTGGAGGAGGTAGGTATGACTTAGTTCTGGAGGTACAAGTTATGCCAATAGAATATGGCATTAAATTTTCTGGGTTAGATTAGTTTACAAGTCTCTACTAGTTCTAGAATTTGACAGTTCAATAATATTCTGTTGATATAATAAGGAATGTAAGATATTTTGTGGCTTGTGTGTATGGTTGCCTATGCAGTAGTGGAATTTTGGAAGTTCTGGAAGTCTTTAGAGGTGGACTTTGACCTTAAAATCAGGCTCTTTTTATAGTAGAGTTTATGCAAAATTAGCTTAAGTTGGACTATGACTTTTCTATGGTTGAGTTTGTGGCGAGGTTTCATGGAGGAGAATATACTGAGAGGAATCTGTGCTGTGAAACACACAAAAGTAGATTGGCACTGAATATAGACAGATCATCAATATTTTGTAAGCATTAATTTCAGGATATGTTTTAAAAGTTTAACTGAAAAGGGCAACTCAGTAAAGCAAAACACACCCTGAAAACTTGTTGACAGCTTCTAGATTTACTATTTGATGAAGAATACAAAATTGGATACTCTTGTGTCCCCTATGAAAGCTGTCCACCAAAAGACATTTAAAAACTTTCTTCTTTTCTTTTCTTCTTCTTTTTTTTTTTTTTTTTT